GCAATTAATATAGCGTTGCTGTAAGATAAAGTGAGCAGGAGGAGAATCGTATGTTGTTTTGGCACTGTCAGAGGAAAGATGAGATTGAAAATACTAAATGAAGATATAAAACGAAGCAGAAACTTCCAGTTCTTTTGTGATTGTGCTTGAGGAGGAAACGGGGATACACAAGTCCAAAGGAAAGGGAGACTCATCAATGCAGTGCTAAATTTGTGTGCAAAATACAATACAGTAGGATCCTTGTATACGTGACAGATTGGTTCCAAGTTCCCCCCCAAACTGTGGATGCCGAAAAATGCAGATTATATGTTGTTATATTAATACAGTGGTGCCTCGCAAGATGAAGGTAATTCATTCCGCGTGTAGTACCATATTGTGAAATTTTCGTTTTGCGAAAAGTGGTTTCCCATAGGAATGCATTGCAAGGCATTCCTGTGGGAACCTCGCAAAATGAATGAATTATTTTAGTCTTGCGAGGCATCAGTCTTGCGGAAAAAAAGGCCCGCCGATCAGCTGTGCGAAAACAGGGTGTTTGCGATGAGCGGGGGAAGCTTTTCTATCTATATGTGACCTTTCAGATCATTTTGCCAACAAATCCTTCATAGCATTTTGAGAAAAGGCAGGAAGAAATCCCGTCTAGCTGTTTGAACTGATGTGTCGTCTCTGTTAACGGCATAGGAAACCAAAAGGATCTGCAGCCCTGGGAGAAAACTGTGCTTTGATGTTGTGTGTGTGTGTGCATTGGGTGAGGGAAAGGATCCTTTCTGTTCAGTGCAGCAAAGATCTATGGGTAGCCTTGGTTTGTTACAAAGGGGGAAAAAGTTAATACACAACGTACAGTGGTGCCTCGCTTAACGGGTGCCCCGTTTAATGATGAATCTGCATAGCGATGAAGATTTTGCGATTGCTTTTGCGATCACATTGCGATGTTCCCTATGGGGAAAATCGCTTTGCGATGATGGCTTCCCCCCCATCATCACAAACACCCCATTTTCGCACAGCTGATCGGTGGGGCCGCGTGATCTTCGCAAACGCCCACCGATCAGCTGTACGAATACGGGGCGTTTGCGATGAGCAGGGGAAGCGATCATCGCAAATGCCCTGTTTTCACACAGCTGATCGGCGGGGCGCACGATCTTCTTGCGAGGAATCCATCCCAGAAAAGAGCTGGGAGCCATCTTCTCTGCTCCAGCCCCTCCCCCTCCCCGCCTCACAGCTGATCGGCGCTGGTCTTAGAAGCTTCCCCAGGCTTGCCCAGCAGGGAAACAGGGAGTGGAAATGCACTGGGGAAGCCTCTGAAACCTGCGCTTTGCCGGGGTGGGGGAGTGGCAGGGGCAGGCCCGCCACCCCCCGCCACCTCCTCGTGCCCCCCTCACGACCCCCCTGCGGCAAAGCGGGGCTTTCAGAGGTGCATTTTCACTGCTGAAAAAGCCCCAGGAGGCTTCTGATAGCATTGCAAGGCGGAGCTTGGGGGGCAGGGGGGTGGCGGGCCTGCTCCTGCCACATCCCCACCCACCCCCACCCTGGCAAAGCACCACTTTCAGAAGCCTCCTGGGGCTTTTTCACCAGTGAAAAATGCACCTCTGAAAGCCCCGCTTTGCTGCAGGGGGGGTGGGGGGGCGGGCCTGCCACACACACCCCCACCCCCACCCTGGCAAAGCGCAGGTTTCAGAGGCTTCCCCAGTGCATTTCCACTGCCTTTTTACCTGCTGGGCAAGCCTGGGGAAGTTTCTAAGACCAGCGCCGATCAGCTGTGAGGCAGGGATGGGGAGGGGCTGAAGCGGAGAAGATGGCAAAATGGCCGCCCGCTGTGTTTTCGCCCATATTCCTTGCTTACCGGGCAGCGAAAATGGTGGCCGTGTGGAGGATTTTCGCATAACGGTGAGTTTTTTGCCCATAGGAACGCATTAAACGTGTTTTAATACATTCCTATGGGCTTTTTTATTTTGCATAGCGACGAATCCGTATAGCGACGATTTTGGCTGCATGGATTATCGGCACTATGCGGGGCACCACTGTATTTCATTTCTTTGCAAGGGGAGTGAGAAAGAAATGTATTTGAAGCTCTTAGCTGTGTTCTAAAATGAGTCCTTCTGCATCTAGGGTGGCCGCACAGATGCCAACCGTACATTATGAGTTCCCAAACGGCTACAACTGCGACTTTGGGGCTGAGCGGCTAAAAATTCCTGAAGGCTTGTTCGATCCTTCCAATGTAAAGGTAAAATTAAATAAAATGGCATGTTAGAGTTGGCCCTGGTGCTTCTTACTTTTTTTTTACTTTGTTTTCAGCCATGATGTACAGACTGGTATTGCATGATAAGCAAACTGAATTCTATAAGGAATATAAGATATGTATGAATCCAGCTTTGCCTCTTGTAAACATTAACCAACCTAATGCCAAAGCCTTGGAATAGTCTCCTGTGTGCGCCCCACCCACCCACCTTTATTTTATTTAGGGACTTATGATGGTTCCCAGTGGAAGTGCTTTTCTGATTTAGTATCTACATACATTTAAATTTGAAAGATGAATCTGGCCTGGCCCTGTCTTTTCTTGTGAAACAAGCAAGCAGGGACAGAGAGAGACACAGAGGCAGCCACCCTACTGAATTTTAATGTTTATCTTGAATACCCCAACAAACAGAATGCCGTTTTCCAGCCATCGTTCATACCTTCTGGAGATTGATAAACCTTTTTTTTCTTCTTTTTTTTCTTTTTTGGCTTTCTGCCTGGAATTACAAATATAGAACTAGTGGTGCACCTGACAGGCCATAATACTAGGGTTGTGCACTGCATTTACTGTGACCTTTTGTAATCCTACCTTTCACTGTCTATTTCTCAGACCTTCCACCCCAAATTAAGAAATTAATGAATTCCCCTCCTCTAAAAATGCAATGGTAACAGCTTGAGGTGTACCTGTTTAATGAAAAAAGGAGTCATGTGCCTGCCTTCTCTTACCTTGAAATGAAATATTTAGCATAGCAGGTCTTGATTGAACACTGATAAAGAAGACATTGTCTGGATGAAGGTTGTACCTTCATGAGCAAGTGATGGGATTTTCTAGTTCTGTTACAGAGAATCTATTTTCCCCCAGTTCTGCTCCCCCCCCAAGAGATTTCATGGATTCTGCATCTCTTTTAACATCTCTCCCTCCCTCTCGTGTATTGTTTGGTAGAATCAGCTTTGAACTTCCACCACTGCTTGCGAGCCTGGGTATATGTATTGTAAACAAGAACTGTTCTCTTGTACTGTTCGTACAATTGCAGTGCATTTGTAAATAATGGTGTTCTCTTTTATTTTTTTCCTTTCTTTCTCCAGGGTTTATCTGGCAACACAATGCTTGGCGTGAGTCACTTGGTCACCACAAGTGTCGGAATGTGTGATATAGACATCAGGCCGGTAGGTATTGTTCAGGCATTATGGCTTAATGGGGAAATGACTTGACAGACGTCTTAGTTGAAATTCCACGTGCATGTTTTGGAGGGAGGACCCATCCCGTTATTGCCATCTATACCATATCTTGCAGTTGAAGGCTTACTTGCACATTTTCTTAGGTAGATACATTCCTTCAAAGCCTTGGGCCTGTTACTCTCGCTGCCTCCTCTTTGGTAATGCAGTGATGATCACACTGACTTGACAGAGCTGAGTTGATCTGAGTGAATGTACACATAAAAGCACTTGAAAGCAGTCCAGAAAACTGTGAAAATGCGAGATGTTTTGTTTATCACTAAATGAACCTAGGAAGCAGCCTTATAGGAGCCCAGTCTGTTGGTCTGTCTAGCTCAGGATTGGCTACTCTTTGACTGGCAACAACTGTGAAACTGAAAAGGCTTGTTTTTTATTTTTTTATTATTCGATTTATACCCTGGCCTTCTAGACAGCGGCTTACAAAGAAGAATAAAACATTATAAAATACAATCAAATAAAACCATCAAAGTATGTATAAATCAATCACATAATTATATCAGCAAATTAGAAGATCAAGATGGAAAAAAAAGCTCAAGAAAAAAGAAAATCAGGTGTTGAGTGGAGGGAAGGACTGCGTGAAGAGACAGGTCTTTAAATGACTCTTAAAAACACCCAGCGAGGGTGCTAGGGTAATTTCCGGCAGCAAGGTGTTCCATAGTCAAGGGGTCACTGCCGAGAAGGCCCGGCTTCTTGTTCTTTCTTTCTAGGCCTCTCTCGGCTAAGGCCCCTCAGCCGTCTTTCCTGGCTAAAATGGGTGACTCGGGTAGATCTAGGTGGGAAAAGGCATTCCACCATGTATTGAGGTCCTAAACCGTTTAGGGCTTTATAAGTCATCATTAACACTTTGAAGTGGATGACATTTAAATGTGAAAGATGAATCTGGCCTGGCCCTGTCTTTTCTTGCGAAACAAGCAAGCATGGACAGAGAGAGACACAGAGGCAGCCACCCTACTGAATTTTAATGTTTATCTTGAATACCCCAACAAACAGAATGCCGTTTTCCAGCCATCGTTCATACCTTCTGGAGATTGATAAACCTTTTTTTTCTTCTTTTTTTTCTTTTTTGGCTTTCTGCCTGGAATTACAAATATAGAACTAGTGGTGCACCTGACAGGCCATAATACTAGGGTTGTGCACTGCATTTACTGTGACCTTTTGTAATCCTACCTTTCACTGTCTATTTCTCAGACCTTCCACCCCAAATTAAGAAATTAATGAATTCCCCTCCTCTAAAAATGCAATCGTAACAGCTTGAGGTGTACCTGTGTAATGAAAAAAGGAGTCATGTGCCTGCCTTCTCTTACCTTGAAATGAAATATTTAGCATAGCAGGTCTTGATTGAACACTGAAGTTCTGTTACAGAGAAACGAGTTGCCGGCAGTTCTGCTCCCCCCCCAAGAGATTTCATGGATTCTGCATCTCTTTTAACATCTCTCCCTCCCTCTCGTGTATTTTTTGGTAGAATCAGTTTTGAACTTCCACCACTGCTTGCGAGCCTGGGTATATGTATTGTAAACACGAACTGTTCTCTTGTACTGTTCGTACAATTGCAGTGCATTTGGGTTGGGGGGGTCTGTGTGCAGGGGGGCAGGGCACCCCCATGCTTGCGGGTAGGGGGTACTCGCTCGTGGGGGGTGGGGTGCATGCATGGGTGAGCAGGGCATGCTCAGCAGCGGACCGGGGGTTGCGGACCCCTGCCTTAAGGGATAAGAAGCTGCAGCCTCGTACTACGTAGGGTTAGTAAGACTGATTTTTTTCCTTTCAGTTTTTTGACAGACGTCTTAGTTGAAATTCCACGTGCATGTTTTGGAGGGAGGACCCATCCCGTTATTGCCATCTATACCATATCTTGCAGTTGAAGGCTTACTTGCACATTTTCTTAGGTAGGCACATTCCTTCAAAGCCTTGGGCCTATTACTCTCGCTGCCTCCTCTTTGGTAATGCAGTGATGATCACACTGACTTGACAGAGCTGAGTTGATCTGAGTGAATGTACGTGTAAAAGCACTTGAAAGCAATCCAGAAGGCTGTGAAAATGCGAGATGTTTTGTTTATCACTAAATGAACCTAGGAAGCAGCCTTATAGGAGCCCAGTCTGTTGGTCTGTCTAGCTCAGGATTGGCTACTCTTTGACTGGCAACAACTGTGAAACTGAAAAGGCTTGTTTTTTATTTTTTTATTATTCGATTTATACCCTGGCCTTCTAGACAGCGGCTTACAAAGAAGAATAAAACATTATAAAATACAATCAAATAAAACCATCAAAGTATGTATAAATCAATCACATAATTATATCAGCAAATTAGAAGATCAAGATGGAAAAAAAAGCTCAAGAAAAAAGAAAATCAGGTGTTGAGTGGAGGGAAGGACTGCGTGAAGAGACAGGTCTTTAAATGACTCTTAAAAACACCCAGCGAGGGTGCTAGGGTAATTTCCGCCGTCAAGGTGTTCCGTATTTTTTACCCTGGAGAGGCCAGGAAATGAACTCTGGAGTCCAGAATCCAATTGGGAAGAATCACATACACAAAGACAGTTACCTAAGTGGGTTCCTCCCTGGTCGGTGGTTGTTTGTGTCGTTAGCCGTGTGATTGGTTCACCCAATTTCATTGCAAACGAGGGCCCTCCAGAGGGAAAACTTCATGTCACTGTCTGTTTCCTCAACAGGATTCTGACCCGAGAGTTTGTATGCAAAATAGGTGCACTGTGATCCCACCCCTTTATTATTCCTGAAATCCTTCACTTTACCTTCCAATCTGTGTGGATCCATACATTAGTAAACACTCATAGAAACATACACTTGAAATGTTTTTTAAAAAGTCCATTGCCAGTTGAATTCGGAAAGAAAAGCAAGAAATCCAGAAACAAGCGATACCAAGAGATCCAGCATAGAGAGTGAGTCGCCCTCGAGCCAAAGAAGCATGGCCACTTCATAACTGAAATAAAGGAAATGTGTGAATCTTCTGCTGTAAAGGGTGAGCCCGCACCCAGAACATCACCTCCCATGTTCTCATGCTTTGGCTTACCCAGCTGGCGGGTTATGGAGCAAAATGTCTAATGAATTTGAACTTTCTTGTACCTTAAGGCAGTGGTCCCAACCTTTTCTGAACCACAGACAGGTTGGGGGGGTCTGTGTGCAGGGGAGCAGGGCACCCCCATGCTCGCGGGTAGGGGGTGCTCGCTCGTGGGGGGTGGGGATGTATGCATGGGTGGGCAGGGCACACTCAGCAGCGGACCGGGAGTTGCGGGCCCCTGCCTTAAGGGATAAGAAGCTGCAGCCTCGTACTACGTAGGGTTAGTAAGACTGATTTTTTTCCTTTCAGTTTTATCATTGTGGGGCTGGAATTTACTATTTTCAGTTATTAGTAGTTTTGCTGCCCCCTCATTTTTCTGTATTTTGAAAAAGAGAGCAAAACCACTGTCGTGATTCTCCTCCCCCCCCCCTTTGGATTGCTGTCTTTTTTTCTTCAGGGCCTCTATGGAAGTGTGATTGTCGCCGGAGGCAATACGCTACTCCAGAGCTTCACAGACAGGCTGAATAGAGAACTTTCCCAGAAAACTCCTCCTGTAAGTTTGTTCAAGTGACATTTCCCTTGCACTTCTCATATTACAGTTCTTGGGCTGTTTGGATTGTGCAGGTTGTCAGTTCCAGAGCCAGACGCCTTTCTGGGTTCTGTGGAGCATAACCTAGTGCTCCCTGGAGCTTCTGCACAATCAGAAAGCTGTGGAAAGTACATACAGTAGGATCTCCATATTTGCTGAGGATGGGTTCCAAATGCCACTCCATGGAGACTGAAAACCATGGATGATAGCAAATGGCTAGATGCATAGCATGGCAAAAGGAAAAAAACTGAAAAAATTTGACATGCATTATCAAAACTGGTCACTCATAAGTACGTATTTTCAGACCGCAGCGACGTCAGCCAGTGGATACGGATCCATGGATAATGGAGTCCTAGTGTATTTTGTCTAAATGGGATCCTGTTTGTGGGAGGGGGCACAGGGTATTCCCTTCTGCAAACTCCATTACCTGGTGACTTGTTCACACAAGACCCTGTTGCACGAGTGGGAAAAGTGAACAGACGACTTGCCCAAGTGTTTCTCCCTTGCTGGCTATGTGACTTGCAACACTCTTTATTCTAGTTGGCAACTCATTGCCCTGTTAGGGAGTGGTCTGCACGTGATGCCCTTTTAAGCCTAGGCGGGCTTCAAGATGCAAGGTCTGACATTCTGGTTTGTTGCAGGAGCAATGAGTACCAAACCCAGGTGTTCCCTCATTTTGCAGGTGTTTCAAAAGGCACAACACCAGAAAGGGCTTGTTGCTTTTAAGCCCAGAGGCGGCTTCCAATGTAGTGTTTTATACACATAAAGCAAAGTAATAAATGCTATTGCCAATCATCAGATAAACCCACTGAAGTCTCTTTTTCTGCTGTACCGATATTCTCTCTCTTGATTTCAGAGCATGCGGTTGAAACTGATAGCCAACAATACAACAGTAGAGCGAAGGTTTAGTTCCTGGATCGGAGGATCCATTTTGGCTTCTCTGGTCAGTAAAGTTGCGTTTTGCTGGCAGTATGTGTGGCATTCCTTGGGAGAATTTGGATGGATAAATTTGATAATGGGAAGGAGTCTGATGGAACAGTGTGCAGTGGTGCCTCACTTAACGGGCACCCCGTTTAACGACGAATCCGCATAGCGATGAAGATTTTGCGATCGCAAAAGCGATTGCATTGCGATGTTCTTGATGATCAGCTGGGCGAAAATGCCAGCTTCGGGATGATCGCAGGGAAGCGCTTCCCTCCATCATCCCAAAGCCCCGCCGATCAGCTGGATGAAAATGCCGGCCGGGGGCGTTGGGGGGCCTCCTTTTCCCCCCCGCTGATCGGCCGGGGGCGTGGGGGGGGGTCCTCATTTTCCCCCCAGCTGATCGGCAGGGGCTGTGGGAGGACGGTCCTCCCAAAGGTCCCATTTTCGCACAGCTGATTGGCGGTTCCAAAATGGCCGCCCGCTGTGATGCCTCGCTTTAGAGGCACCGAAAATGGCCGCCCCTATGGAGGATTTTCACATAAGGTGAGTTTTTAAGCCCATAGGAACGCATTAAACATGTTTTAATGCATTCCTATGGGCTTTTTTCTTTCGCATAGCGACGAATCCGGATAGCGACGATTTTTCCGGGACGGATTATCATCGCTATGCGGGGCAGCACTGTATAGATAAAATGTACAACAAATGGTTCGTCTACTGAAGCTGGTGGTGATATCTGAATACTTTCTAGATCAGCCATAAGTGCCAAGTAGGGAACTGGATAACTTGATGCTGTTAAGTATCAAGTAGGGAACTGGATAACTTGATGCTGTTTAAACAGGAGGGCCTGGCGTGCTCTGGTCCATGGGGTCACGAAGAGTCGGACACTACTAAACTACAACAATTTGGAAAGCCATGACCACATCTTGTGACAGTGAATTCTCTAGCCTAATTGTGCCCTGTATGAGCTCGCTCTTTTGTCAGTCTTGAATCTCCCACTATTCAGCTTCTGTGGATGACATTTCTAGCATTTTGAGAGAGAGAGAAATAAGTTCCACCATCTGCCCACCAGTGTGGCAGTTTATACACCTCTTAGGTCTCTTGGCTAGCCTCATATCTCCCTAACCTTGTGTCAGGGATGGCGCCACAGCTCTTTGAGAATTTTGATTGACCACTCCGCCATCGTCCTGGAAGTGTGATGACACGTGACTTGTCTTCTGCAGGGTACCTTCCAACAGATGTGGATCTCCAAGCAAGAGTATGAAGAAGGAGGGAAGCAGTGTGTGGAAAGAAAGTGCCCATAAACGTCCTGCTTCAAGAGGCGATGTTCCCCAGTGCTTTTAATATTTGATAGCTTTAGCATACTCAGGAATGGAATTCTCTCTTTTGTAGAAGTGTATACTTTGTGCATTCTCTCATTTCATTTTTTTAACAGACCATAGGTATTATTTTAAAAGTCAACACTGTGTCTGTCAAACGGATGCCCACATCCTTTGTAAATGCAATAACTCTTATACAGACTTTTTATAATTTTTGTATAAATATCTATTTTCTGCAAGAAAAGGTCTTTTTCTCCTGGAAACGAAGCTATGGATTATGGATGTAATTTCTTGCCTTTCAGTGACATTTTAAAGAAATGTGTCTTCTTTCAAACTAGTCTTCCTTGTTACATTGACTTTAATAAATTTCTCTAGTTTGTTTTAAAGGCTCTTCATTATTGTATTACCCATCACCAATTTCTCTACATTCATGTGCACATTTTAACCCACCAAGTGGGAAGAGAAGCAAATAAGACTATAGTCCTCAGCTAAACTAATCTCTTTCTATTGGAGATAAATGTAACTTGCACTTGGTTTATTAATTTGGGCAGCTGTACAGGATCCCTTGATCTCATTATATAAAAAGTGGGTTAAAACCATAATAATAAAGGAGCAAGGCACCTGAAATCAAGGCTGCCTAGAGTGGTCGAAATGACTAGACAGGCGGGGTATAAATACAATAAATAAATAAATAAATAAATGACCTTCTCTATAAATCTAAAGAAATTGCATTACAGTATTAGGCTACTGTAACCCTACGAATACCTCTCCTAGAAGAAGCTATCCCATTGCTGTGTGCAGAACGTAAACAAGTACAAATACAGTAGTTTCATTTTATTACATTAACTTTGCAGTGTGAGGTTAAGAAGTTTTCAACTAGCAGGTAGTAACATAAGACTGATAAAGAAGACAGGTTTACTTGATCCTTTAAACTGGAGATAACTCTGGTCCCTCCATGCAAAACACGGCTCTACTTTTGATCTTAGAAAAGCACATGACTGCAGAAGGGTGGGAAACCATGATACATTTTTTCAGTGCAGAAATGTGTTCTTCATCTGCTCAGAGACAATTTTGTATTTCTGATTAAGAATCCTTACCCTTTCTTTACTGACTAAGCAAGCTGTAGCCACTTATTGCTATATAGCGTAGTCGATCACTGGCATCTCTGGATAAAAAGCATTTATTTTTTTTCTAATCCAGACAGACAAATTGTATTTTAAGGATGACTGAACAGTATTACACAACAGGCTGGAGCAATTGTATTTCAGTTTTAAAAAGTCACGAATAGTCTCCCTTCAGTTGTGTCTATTTACAACCCATTACTAGATGCAGAGAATTTCTGCAGCAGCATCTCTACATTACAACAGTCTTACTCCAGCTAGACTTCCCAAATGTTGAACTCATGTTAACTCTTAGACTCTGCAGCAAGATGAGGGAACTTTTGCAGTAAAACCTTCTGTTTTTTTCTCTCCAATTCTTTCTTCCTTACTTGTCTGTGCAGATACTTTTCAATTCTGAGCCTATAGGAAGGAATCAACAAATGACCAAAGGTTATGGTAAGCACAGATGCTATTTCCCCCCCTCAGTGCCAATGAGGAACAGGAAAGATAATTTTGATGGCTTTTGTCTTACCTGATAAAAGGCTTGACATTTTGCAGGTAGTAGAATCGTTTCTTTCTGTGCCTACTGTTCAAATGCCAAGGGATCGGCCACTCCCTGAAAGTATACCTGCCAGCGACACAAAAAATTGAGAATAAGAGGATATCGCTTCCATGCTGTGCATATTGCAAGACATTTTTAAGGTAAGATAAATGCCTAGAAGGCTAGACAGATTTCTCTCAAGTACTTTTCTTTCTGCCCCCTCCTTGCATGAAAGAAAAAAAAATATCAGGATGCCTTACAACACTTTAGAACACATTTGGCCTATATAAAAATTCTGGAAATAAAGGTAAACATTAGTCTTTGAGCAGATGAAACAGCATATATGCTTGAGTGAATGAGTGCAGATACTATCTGAGGAAATGAGCCACAGTGTGTTCATATGACAACTTTGGCTGATGAGATCAGCTGTTCTGGGCTGGCGACAGAATATTTTTGACATGCGTTTCTCTCCACACATATAGGTGAGATGATAATATCCCAGTTTTCCAAAGGATCTGAAGTCCTTAAGAGGCTATACTGAACTATTGGTGTAAACCCTATTGTTCAACATTCCTTCCCGTTACAAAGGGATTGGGAATCTTTATTCAGTCTTGAATGTCAAATTGGGTCCAGCCATGTTGCCCCTGATATGATCATTCAGGCCCCCTTTTCCACATACCCCAGAACATGTGCCTGTAGGAGCATTTAGAGCTGCAATAGGGGAGACAGAAAATAGTAAACTGAATTTAGGCTTTTAAAAAAAGACACTACTGGCAATGAATGGGTGTAAGATTTTAAGTGGGGAACATAACCTGTAAAAAGCAGATGGCATAAGATTCTTGGCCTGCAGGCAAATATAATAGGCCATCCATATGAAAAAGAAATGTGAAAAATGTGTTTGATTAAAATAAATAATGCCATACTGTTTTTGACTATATGAAGCAAATTCTGTAAAATTTAAAAATTTTACAGAAAAATGTAGGGTGTAGTGACTGTCAAGAGAAACCTCAAAGGTCCCCTGACAGACTGAGGGAGGTTTGCAAAACTTGAGTATTAAAGCCCCTAAAAGAAAAGACACCTGCCCACCACAAAACCATCCCAATAAGAGCTTAGGGGCCATAGTATGCTGAGAATTAAAAGGAAGCCCAAGAAGCTGGAGCAGGGATGGTGGAATGAACAAGTGACCCAAACGCTGGTGAGGAGCGCTCCACACAGCCGCCCCACTGGTACGGTCTGTTCTGACACAGGCTCCTTCAAGGCCAGAGGCAGGAGTCTTGCTCACCTCGTCCAGTCATTTAACTGGAACTGCCAGGAATTGGAACTTCGGACTCTCAAGAAAACGTGTGCGCCACTATTGAGCTGTGGGGTTAGTAATGAATATAAACAAGTGCCAGAACACTGAAACACCAGCATACCAAATAACGCGACCCAGGAAGTCATATCTCCATTCGCCGGGTCTCTCATGCTCCTGGCCAGTCTGTAGCAGCCGCAAAGCATCTTCTCTTTCCTTAATAACAAGATCCATTCTTTCCATGGAAGCTTTCACCTGAAGAGTACACAACAGCCACTGTGACCTCTAAAGAACTTACAGCATGCTAAAGGGCTAAGCACAGAACACTCAACCTAGAGCAACTGCCATGACGGAGCATATCGTATCGCCATTCATATTGCACTCCCAAGAAACAAGAGACTTTGCATTACTCATTTGCATTAAAATGAGTAAGAACTATGAGATACACAGAAACTTGTTTCAATGCAGCCTGCACCAGGTTCCCAGTGATGTGTACCATAAAGTCCAGATCCACTGTGTAATTCTGCCCCAACTTGGCCTCCCTGCCACTAAATAAACTGCATCTACATGAAGGATATGGCACATAAGAGGAAAGAGACTAGCATATGTAATACAAAAGAAAAAAAAAGTTAGATTGGCCATTGGAAAGATGTGGGCATTTTTCTCTATCATTGCAACCAATGAACTTAACTGGGTTTTATGGCTGCAAAATGCAAAACTCCAGCGAAGTCCAAAATGCAATGACTCAGGCAAGTTGAGTCATGGAGCCAAAGGCTTGCCATGTATTGCCTTGCAGCCCCAAAGCTTCTGAATCCACTTTCATAATCTGTAGGAAACGTGTCCTGCTGCTACCTCTTAATGCGCATCCAGATGTCAGCTTCCTACTACTTCTTTACTGTTGACTAGAAATAGGTACGAACTGCTGAACTAGCAGTTCATGCAGGTTCATCATTTGGCCAACTAGGTGTTCAGTGGTTCCCAGCCCTGCCTCCTGCAGCAGGTGACCACCCTGGCTTCCCTGCTGGAGGAGGCAGGTAGGGAACCGCCAAACACTGTTTGGCTTAAGATGAACTGACACAAACTGCTGGTTCATGCCGATCTCCACTGTTGACTCAACAATGCAATGTTAAGCCAGAGGAAGCTGAGAAGAGGTATAAAACTTGTGCAGGGTTGTGAGCAGCAATTTCTTGCACTGGCTAAATTTTTCTGCTCAAATCCCTGAACCATCCTTGGAAGGACTGCAAAGCTTGTATCTTTAGCAAAAAAATGCCCTTCTCCAAGTTACCTTGTCTAATCGCTCTGGGCTTGGCATTGCCACCCCCTGCCGTTTTGCTTCTTGCTCCAACGTTAGAAGCATGTTCCGTTCTTTTAGCAGGACATACCTATGTCACAAAACATGTGTCAGTAAGAAACATTAGATTGTTAGTGAGGACTCTTCCAACGCAATTCACTTGCATGCAAGCAAACGGATACTTATATATAATTTTGGAAGCCCTCTGGTACCAAATACTACATTCCCTGATAATACTGGAATAATACATTCCAGTCCCCTGAAAACCAAGTCCTTTGAGGAAAGATTGAAAGAAATTGGCAGATTTAGCCTTGAAAAAAGAAGACCTGGAGGGGGGGGATATGACATGACAGCACTTTTCAAATACATAAAATGTAGCCATACAGAGAAGGGGAAGATCTCTTCTCAATCATCCCAGAGTGCAGGGCAGGTAATAATTTAGCAGCATTCCTATCAGCATGCAAGCATCAGGACAATTAGCTCTGTGCCCTTCTCCCGAGCTTCATTTCCCCGCCTCCCAATCTGTCCAAAAGACATTTTGTCTTTAAGGCTCATGTCTAGCTGTCATTCAGTGTTACTTACTCCTCTTCCTTTCTATAACTTCTCATCACTCCCCTTATAATCCCATTTGCTAGATCACTGCCTACTAACAAAGAAGCAACCACGTAGGCTTTAAATCTGATGGTTAAAAAAATTAAGCTATTTGATGGGTATAAAATAGTTATGTCACTTGACAGACTCTGCCGTCTGTCCTATAAACAGCTCTAAGTATTGCTGTGACAGCGAAGTTTACCTGGCACACAACTTATCACTCCAGCTAAGACCTCATAATTAACTGCTTGATAGATCCAATTCTGCATTAACAAACCATTGTCACATTGTCTATTATCTATATCCTCACTGGACATCACTCTCACTGCCATGGAGATAAACATAGGAGGCATCTATTAGAGCTATTAGATAGCTCAGAGGTTTAGGCATGTGGCTGTGGAGCCAGAGGTTGTAAGATAGATTCTTTGCTTTGCCTCCTTGACATAGGCTGGACTCAGTGATCCATCGGGTCTCTTCCAGCTCTGCAGTTAGTATTATTTGTGTTCCTTGTGTCTGAATAAGTGATCCATGAACACTCACAACCAAATAAAGTTGTTAATCTTTAAAGACTGAGAAGATGCTGCAATACTTTGCCTTTTTCTCTTTCTCTCAAATTACGTTTTGCTAACATCCCACCTTAGACATTCTTTCCCTAATTATTTTCTCCTGACCAGCCCCACTACTGTCTTCTCATAGCACACAACCCTCCTTGTCTTATACACCTTCAGCCTCTCCTTGACTAGCCCCCACTTCCAATTTTCCTACGTACTCCATCCTCTGCTGTCAGCTATCCTTATTTTCTCAGTCTACTGTTTACTCTTCCCTATTCCTCTTGATTCCTCGTCTTTAGCTTCCCTGCATTCTGGGGCTTCATTCTAATCCTGTTTCAGCTGTAGCCTAATTGTCAATACACACTTCCCTCACAGAATATGGACTGCAAACTTTTAGTTCCCTGAACAATGAAAAATTCTGAGTCATCATTAGAGCTCAGGTTATCAGTAGGGAAAACTTCATTGTCACAAGGAAAATATAATGTAGATATTGAAATTCTGGCTTGAAATTGTTTGCCATAAAGAAGGAAAAAGTATGTTCCTCCTCTTAAAAATATATGAACCATTCAATATACTGAAAAATACTCACCAAAGTTTATGCAAATCCTCATTGCTCTTCCCTCGGAGCTGTTCTACTGTCCAGGAATCCCCTGGAGAAACCACAAAACATATCAAATAATTGATGTTTACGTGCAGACTATGGGTGTATTTTTGGAAACAGATATCGCCAAGTATTTTATAGACTGAAACCAAACCAACTGCAGGTGTTCAAAGAATTGTTCAAAGGCTTTCCCTTCTGTCTCATACTCTGTGAAGTCCATGATTCAGTGGTCACCTATATAATTCACACTTGGAACAAATGATTGTGAAATGTAGCATTCATTTTGTTCTGCTACATTTTGGTGTAGTTTTAAACTGCATTTTCTACTGGTTTACCTGTTTGATTGTTTACAGAGTGGGCTTTTTTCCTTATATTTTTTGTTAGTCACCCTCCTTTACTAAATAATGGTACAAAAGCATTTATTTATACTGTATATCCTATTTATATTTATACTGTATACCTTATTTCTTTTTTCTCTTGGAACTCAAGATGCTGTACATACAATTTCAAGGAGAACTCCCATCAACGCATTGATTAGACACTTTTGGGCTTACTTTTCAGCACATAGCAGCATTATGTCTCCTCATACCATGTACTAGGGATTTTAAAGAGTTAGCCCTATTTTCTACTCACTGAAATCTATGCCCATCCACCATCACCAGGCTGTTAACCAGACAGCACCCCACCAAAAAAGAGTATTTTGGAACTATCTATTGCACCTACAAGGTTTACAAAAACTACAAAAGGTAATGTAAAAAACCACACACTGAAATGAAAATACAGTAGAATATAATGCAGAATACTCAACTTGATTTTATTGATATGTGTAACAAAAATAACCCATAAGTAAAATCAAAAATATTTTTTAACATTTTATGCAAGGATGTCCCTAAGCAGAAAGTCAACTGCATATTACATTCTGAAGCAGGCAGGCTGTACAGTGAATAGAGCAATGACTTCAGAGATGTATTTAAAAAATAGTCCCCAACCTTAGGCCTCCAGATCTGTTCTTGGACTACAACTCCCAGAAGCCTTCAACTTATGCTGGCCAGGATTTCTGGGAGTTGACGTCCAAAAAACATTTAGAGGCCCAAGGTTGGGGATCCCCTGCATTAAAACATACACAACCTCACCTCTACTCCACCACAGAGTAGAGCAACACAGCCCATCTGGCATAGAGGGAGCTTGGCAAACCGGTCCACAGAAACAAGTTTCCTTGTGTTAACTTACCAGATTTGACTTTTTTCTCCCCCCAGTTTTTAGGGTCATCAAAAAATTCCTCTAACCCACGTCTAGACAAGGATGTGTGGAATAAGGCACACGGCGGGAGCTGTTCGGCTTTTCGGGCGTTCTTGTGCAGATCACCGAGGTTAACTCTGAAGGGCAATAACACGGGGACATTTTGAAAAACAAAACAGTAAATAGACACATGCACACACAACAACAACACACTACTAGGGCATTCTTCTACTGCAGCTGATTTCTCCCCCCGCCAAAAAAGGCATTGTCCACTCTTTCAATATTCAGATTATCCACTGATGGCTTAAGTATCCTTCTGCCCCTTCCGTCGAAAAGCGCTTCTTCCAGCCCCTCAGGGGACGACGCCCCCCAACTCTTCCACTAGGCGCCCGCCCACCTGGAGGACGAGGCCACCGACGCCCCCCAAGGGGCTGCCCTCAAACGCAAGACCCCCGAGAAACGCCTGCAAAGCCCGGCGGCCGCCATCACGCCAGCGGCGTCCCACAAGGCTCCGCGGGGCGTCCGAAGAGAACGAGGCGAAGGCTAGAGCGGCACAGAGGCCGGACGGTTTCGTGAAACCTGAAAGCCGCCATTGGCCTCGATTCCCTATGGTGCCGCTCTCGACTTTGGTCATCTCTATGGTGAAAGCTCTGTTCTAAATGGGCACTTAGAAGGGGGTGGGTGGGTTTCTTTTAGGACTGCAGCTCCCAGAATTCCGCAGAAAGCGCAGCTGTCTGAGGGGTTCTGGGGATTGTAGTCCAGAAAACAAAAATATGCCCACGCCTCTCCTTGCGATAGAAATCGGGAGTGAAAACTAGTCCTAACACAAATGTTACTAGCGGAACTCTATCCACTGCCCCCTGTGCTATTATGATGCAATCCTATTGTTTCCCACGCATTGCCTCTGACTTCGACCACTAAGGTCAGGAAAACGGAGCAAGGCATTCTGGCTGCTTGCAAGAAATGGGGCGTCCGTGCCCCCGTCAGGGAGAGTTGTGCAAGGAGTAGTACATACAGTAGTTGTTATGCTTGTTTTACTCCAATTGGGGAGTCCTGGGAGCTGTAATCCAAAAATCACAAAAATGCATGCCTCCAGTATCAGGAGGATTCCTGCCCTCCCTCCTGTTATCTTTCTAGTAGAAAATATATTTTGTTGAGTTTTTAAAGACGCAAAGAATCACTCCGTTAATGCAAATATCCAAGCAAATACTGTTTTGTTTCGTGCCGTTTTTCCAAAATAGCAAACTTGGGGAGGGAGCAAAATATTGTAGCACCTGAGCCGGGAAGGGCGGCTGACGCCTTTCCAGTTGCAACCCAGGAGGGCTGCACAGCCAACAAGCCTCAAGTCACAGCAATGCCCAACAACGTGTTCATTTCCAGCCGCCTCCAGAAATCTATCTTTCCGGAGCCCGATCTTGCTCGTCCTTGTTTTCCTTTCCTTACTGCCCTGCCTCTCTGTTGTGTTTTTTCAGACGAAGGCAGGGACGGTGTCTTTTTCATGTACGATCCTTGCCAAGACTGTAGTGCACACATTATTCAGTAATAAATAATTATAATTTTAATTGAAGGACAGATCCTGAAGCTGAGGCTCCAGTACTTTGGCCATCTCATGAGAAGAAAAGAGTCCTTGGAAAAAACCTTGATGTTAGGAAGGTGTGATGGCAAGAGGAGAAGGGGACGACCAAGGATGAGATGGCTGGACAGTGTCTGCGAAGCAACCAACATGAACCTGACACAGCTCCGGGAGGCAGTAGAAGACAGGAGGGCCTGGCGTGCTCTGGTCCATGGGGTCACGAAGAGTCGGACACGACTAAACGACTAAACACAAAACACACATAATTTTAATTATCTAGATTTAAAAAATCCATAAGACTCGTCATGTCTGAGGTGGACAGGCCCACGAAACCTCACATTAAGATACAACCACAACATTTGTGTCCTTTTTTGGTTTCCTTTTGTTTCTGCCTGATAGTCCATGATACGTAAAGGGAGCCCTAAGAGCAACGGCCTCCTGTCAGCTACCTTTTGCTTTCAATTTCAAAGACGTAGCTATATTACTTCCAGCACAGCAGCAACAACAAGAGTCCTGTGGCATCTTTCAACATTAACATATTTATTTTTAGTCCAATTAGACTTTTATTTTATTTATTTTATTAGATCTCTACCCTGCCCATCTAGACCAAAGGTCTACTCTTCTATGCACTTTTATTCATATATTTTATTTAAGGGTCACTAAGAATGACTTTTTTGTGGGGAGGTTAACTCTCCGGAAAATGTTGAACCTGTCCTCAATCACAGCTCAGTGAAACCAGCGTTTGCCTCCATTTGCGCATCCGTCAATTTCTCCAAAACGACTGATTGATGTTTAGCCCAATTTTCTCCTTAAAAAGAACCCAAACCGAAACCGGAAACTTGCGTTCTACTACAGTTCGGTCTAGGACCTCGCTCTATGATCCGTATTAAGAACACAAGTGACCATTTCAAAGATGGCGTCCGCGGGGCCATCGGCCTGGTCCTTGTGGTAACGAAGCATTCTCCTTCGCCAACGCTTGCCAGGTCCAGAGATGGCGGCCATGAGCCTCTTGCTGCGGGCTGGGGCCTCTTTCGGGACCCGACGAGGCTTGCTCGGCTGCGCGCTCCGGGGCCGCTTCCCTCTGGCGGGATTGACCGTCGGTCGCCCTGTCGTCCTCGGTATGGACCTTGGGATTTGAACGAGGGACGAAGAGTCCGAGGCGCTTCCTTGCGGGTTGACCTTGAGGTCGAGGCAGGACGCCACTGATCCTTGCAGGCGGAGAGGTCACTTTTGGCCCCGCTCCTCTGCCTTGACAAGCAGGCACAGGCTGCAATCCCACGGGTGAAGATCCTTCCTTTTGCACTATTTCTGTGCCCGGAGGAGCGTCACCTGTTGGATTTCTGCCTTCCCTGCAGCTGCCTTGGAAGCGCGCGAGAGGGAGACTAGAAAAACAAATGACTAAAATAAAGGTGGCAACTCTTTTTACTCAAGATTCATGATCCGCAGCGTCTTGGGGATGCAGAAAGCAGGACTGGTTTATTTCAGCCTGTTTTATTCCAGTGCTTTGCTTGAAATGCTGCAGAAGGAATGCAGGGGAGAAACTGTATCAGAGATGTAGGTGCAAGCTAAATTAGAAAGGAGAATTTTGGATAGATGGATTCGTGGAACCAGGGGGTGTTTAGGAGTCGTCAGCAGGTTGCTTCTTGCCGTGGGAACCTTTCTATGTGCCTTCCTATACTGGCCTTATAAAGGATCTTCTTTATTGTGGTGCCGTTAGGGATGAATTTAGGGTTCCTGCCTGGGATTTGCAATCCCAGGGGCAGCCATTCAGAAGGGCAGAGTATGTGCTTGTCGAAAAAGAATATAAAAAGGTGCCTTGAAATTTGAATTGTCAGTTTCTAGAAAAATCACGGATACCACTCTGCTTTATTTTTTCTCTAGGTCATGCCATGAAGCCAGTGATAATTAATATGAGCTGCAGCATGAATGAAGAACTTGTGCCCCTCCAGATGATGCTGGGCTGGAGCGTCCATTATCCCTTACCATTTGTTATGTTAGCTAGGCCTGATGGACGTTTCAGTGCAGCAGCATCAGGAGAACCACACCATACCTGGAAACGCTATGCCAAGGCTGTGCATTAGCATTAATTGTTGATGGCAGACCTGAGCTTCAGTTGTAATGAAGAAAGTGCCTTTTGTACAGTGTTGAGCAACCTTACAATTAGGTGCAATTAGGAAGGGTTTGTTCCGTCCCTAAGTATCTCCTGTGGGAAGGTGAGATTATTGTGTCTGTCGTCCAGTGGTTATAGAAAAAAAATGCAGATGTGGCTTAAGTAATGAGCAAAGCAAGGAATGAAAGTTGTTTCCATTTTTCCTTTTTAATGAAACGAGTTGTTTGCTTGCAGCTTATAAGTGTGGGGTGTTGTTTATGACAGTGGAAAGCCATCCTAATACACTGGTTAGGGGTGGAGGATATGGGAGCCTAGCTTCCATGTTTGATTCAAAACTTCTCGCTTTGGTATACCTACCTTCCAGGATTCTTGAGATGCTGAAATACTAGGCCCATGGGTAACTGCTTTGTACTAAATCAGACCGTTGGTCTCTCCAGTTCAGTTATTGCCTTCCTTAACTATCAGCATCTCCTTTTTGGATGGAGGGCTTTTCCAGCCCTACCTGGAGATGTTACAAATTTAACCTAGGATCTTCTGCTTGGGAAATGTATACTCTACTAGTGAGCTACAGTCTATTTCCAAAGGATCCTCTATTATCCTTAGAAGAAAGGTGTGATTTCAGATGTGGTGGTGATGATTTTTAGTTATTAATACCTAAGGGTTTTGTCAATGTTGTTCAGAATTCCTTGCAGCATCAGTTTGTCTCCTCATCTGTATCTGAATAGGGTGTGGGGTGGTGGTGGTAAAAACATAATTGTAGAGCCGTTTACATTCGAAGTTGCAGAAGTAAGTGTTAATCTAGTACACTTAAACATCTCTTTAATTTTGCAGCCTCAGTACGACACAGCAGTGGAGAGAAACGTTTGTTTTACGTGATACCGCAAAGATTTTATGACAGGAGATTCATGGCCTCCCTGGTAAGTTCATGGTTCTTCTTGTTAAAAAGTAACTATTGTAGGAGACAAAATATGGTTGTTGTGGTTTTTTCAGGCTCTTTGGCCTTGTTCTGAAGGTTGTTCTTCCTAACGTTTCGCCAGTCTCTGTGGCTGGGATCTTCAGAGGACAGCAGTGCTTGAGAGCACAGAGTGGTATCCTCTGAAGATGCCGGCCACAGAGACTGGCAAAACGTTAAGAAGAACAACCTTCAGAACACAGCCAAACAGTCTGAAAAACCCAGAACAACCATTAGATCCCGGCCGTGAAAGCCTTTGTGAATATATCATGCAGGATATTTGATTGTAGGTAATATACTGTGTCAGTAAGGGCAGAGTTGGATAACTTCCAGCCCATCAGAAATGGTGATGAATAACAACTCCCATCACCCCTAAACACTATGAGGACAGATTGGGGCTGATTCATACTAGAGTCCAGCACCATTGGCATGCATGCAAGAAAGACTCCTGATACCTGCAGGTTTGTTTGTTATCAGTGCAAACTTTTCATTGTCAGAGAGATAAAAAGTGACTTCTTTCTTCAGCAGCAGGACTAACTTTAGCACAGTAGGGCCCAACCTTGGGTAATCCGGGTGTTCTTGGACTACAACTCCCAGAAACCCCGGTCAGCACAGCTCGTGGTGAAAGCTTCATGGAATTCCAGTCCAAGAACATGGGTTGCTCAAGGTTGGTAACCACTGCTCTAGTAAAAGCAGTACAGTGGTGCCTCGCATAACGAGCGCACTGTTTAATGACGAATTCGCATAGCAATCTATTTTTTTAGATCGCTAATGCGATCGCATTGCGATGTTTTAATGGGTAAAACATCGCATTGTGATGATACGGTAAGCGTTTCGCTTATCGATCTTCGCATTGCGATGTTTTTTTAAACAGCTGATCGGCAGTTCCAAAATGGCCGCCGGGTGCCCAAAATGGCCGCAGCAAGTGTTTTCGCGACTGCTCTCGCTTACCAAGTGCGCGAAAATGTCGGCGCTATGGAGGAACTTCGCTGAACGGTGAGTTTGGGAGCCATAAGCTTTTTCCATTCCGTTTAGCGATGTTTCTGCATAGCAACAATTAATCCGGAACGGATTAACGTCGCTATGCGGGGCACCACTATACATGAAATCTGTGGTTCCCTATCTTCCTTTATCACTTCTTCAAACCCTTGCTGTAAAGAACACCTTGTTTCTTTATATGGTTGTCAACACTGAGGGGAGGCGAATATCTAACCTGTTGGGGGGTTCCCTGTCTGGCCTGCCAGGGGTCCCAGAAAATCTCCTCAGCCATCCCAGAGAGTTTTCCCAACACGGGAAGGGAGTTCCTGTGTTTATCTCTGACAGGACATAACAGTGTGGGGGGGGGCAGCTTTGCATGTCCTATGCGCTTCCGAAAGAGGGAAGGGGTGAGCAAAACTACCCTCAATAGGCAAGAGGTGGGGTGAACGCTGATGATGATAATGCTTGAGTTCGGTTGGCTTTGCTTTGGGGGGTGCTTTGGATGGATGAAGTCATGATGCTGGAATAGATGCTGGTGTAGCCATGTGGCTGACACCATTTGGTCAACGGAGAACAAGGGAGGTGGTGTTAGCCAGCTCTCCCTCCAGTTATATGTCCCAGCTGTACCATAAACCTGTCAGATGATCATTGGGGGAAAACCACACCTATGGATGAGACAGTTGGTTTTTCCACACATATAATTTAATAGGTTAGGTAATGGTATCTGAAAAATGAAAGTATTTGTATTTTCATCCTATTCATCAGGGTAGGAAAACATCCCCACAGTCCATATTCCAGTGCTTGTATAGTATCCTAAAATTAATTTGGCTTAATAATTATTTCAGCTACTGTATATTTTAACACCTAATGATCTTTCTTTTCTTCTTTTTCACTTTTTAAACAGTGGTTCTATATGTTTCTAACTGGAATCCCAATAATTATATTTATAACGCTTGTTAATATCTTTATTGGTGAGTATTTCTGCATGTTGGAATATATATTGTTAGGGATTGTTAAGCATGGCTAATATAAGAAGCTGTTTAACCGGAGAAGTAGTGGCCTCTCTTTTCAAAACTGCAGTAATAGTGACACTGAATTTTGTTGCTGGTCCTGAATAATACTAGAGAACTTCAAAACAAGTATAACACTACAGGAAGGGAAGTAGAATAGATATCAGTAAAACTGCAATTTGATTTTTTTATATTTATGTATATATGTATTTATTTATTTTTGGCCTGGTAAGTACAAGGCATGTACTATGTTTTGGGTTTAAAAAACAGCAACTTTTGAATGTGTTTGTATTATTCTTTTTAGAACTGGAGTGTACAAACTCCAGAATACCACGGTCCCTTCTTATCCCTCCCAAACCCTCTGGATCCCATGTTAGCCCCTTACAGTGAAACTATAAAGGAGTGGAAAGTCACTTTGGTTAAACACACATGCATTCAGTTTAAGGAGGACACCTTTTTTTCTCCCTAAATTAAGGTGGGGACATGCCTTGTTTTAGAGGAGAATCAAATATTTGTGATGATTTGCCCTGGCTGATAGCAGCTCCCCAGGTTTTCATAAAGCCCAACCTAGAGATGCCTAAAGTCTTCTAAAGCAAAGCAATTGCTTTGCCACTCACCGATGCTCCCTTTCCTTTGGCTAGCTATTTGTATATGTTGGTGATTCAGTTTTCCTGAACACAGCAGGGGCAGGACTGACTTTTGAGTGAGCAGGCATCTTTTGAAGGGAATGTGTTGCACATGGCAATGTATGGTAAGCCCCTGTTGCTCTTTTCATCCATACATCTTGTAGGTCTACAGATCTTGAACCCACTTTTTCTGTTTCCCACCAGGTGATGCTGAACTGGTTGAAATCCCAGAAGGTTATTATCCAGACCACTGGGAATACTATAAAGTAAGTACAGGGATGAATAGAAAAATATGTCAAGAAAGGGAATCAAATACTCTTGACATTTTACATTAGTGTGTGATTGAATTATTGAAAATGTAATAATTGGCTTAGATTTTTTTAAATTCAGTTTTGTGCTGTGCCCACTATTGGGACTAAATAGTGCAGGATTATGTATAGTTTATTACTTTGCAAAAGATCCAACAATTCAGAATGTGGATTTAAGTCTCACGTGTACTTTTCAAGTTCTTGTTAACCTTTGCATACCAGAATGAGGTATTTTCATCTCTCAGAGTCACATTGGGTTGCTGAATTTAGAGAGAACTCAACTTTATAACATCACCATCTAAAGCATTGTGAACAATCTCCCTGAGTTTCAGCCAGTTATCCTGTAGAGGTGTTATTTTTTCCCCCTTCACAAAAAAATATATCTGGGACAAAAATTGTCTCGACAAATCTGTTAAGATTTTTTTCAGTATTTTTTCACTGTCCAAGGCAATGTAATGCATGGGGGGGGGAGTCAAGTGGCATTGATCAGCACACCATAATGCCAAGAAACTGGTGACAAAAAGTCAGTTTTCTGTATGTGGGCTGCAGCTGGGTGTGAAAGAAATGATACTGTAGATCTCAGTAGGATCAGGAAATACAAAGAATGCCCACAAAACTCAACTCCTAAACCTACAGCTAACTCTCGGCATACTGGAATTCGAATGGGATCAGAAAATATCTAAAACTCACTCAGTGCAATGTTTATTCTGTGGCATGAAAACAGAAAAAGAAACCAAGTGTCTGACCCTCAGAGGTTTATGAGGTCTTGGAAGGCAAAATTCTGATTGTTTCTTCTTAACCTTTTCCCTCTGTAAAGGGCAGAGAGAGCCCAGAGGCGGAATGGCTGAAGAAAATAAGTGGCGTCCTTCTATTTTTGCGTGCACAGAATGTGTAAGATGGTGGATGTTTGAAAACACTGCAAGACCCATCGGAAACATGATTAATCCTTTCCAGCAGGAAAAAAAATACACACCGAAAAACAAACGCCCCATCGGAAATGCGATTAATCTGTTCTGGTGGGGGGGGGACACAGAGAAAAACAAACAAACACTACAAGACCCATCGGAAACACGATTAACCAGTTCCAGTGGGGGAAAACACACACTGAAAAACAAACACACACTGTAAGACCCATCACAGCACAGAAATATAAACCCCCCAGCTCAAACCCATGCTACAAAACCCTCTACTCACTCAGAACAGGCATTTTAAAAAGCAGAAAGCAGTACCAGGCAGTCCAAAGCCTCCTCCAAACGCACACTCTCTAACCGCTGGGGCGAAAGAGCTACAGAGAAGCAGCCTCTTTGCCGACCAATGGTTAGCAGTTTAAATTCCCCACATTTTTTCCAGTCACATCTCAAAGCTCCGGTCGCAAGTCAAAGCAAAATTTTGCGGCCGGAGCTGGTCGTAACTCGAATTGGTCACGAGTCAAGACGTTTGTAAGTCAAGGCACCGCTGTATTTCCAAGAAACGTTCGTCATAACTCGTTTTTCTTTTCTCCAGCATCCTATAACTAGGTGGATTGCCCGCTATCTCTTGGATCCCCCAGAGAAGGATTATGAAAAGACGATGGCTTTGCTCCATTTAGAAAAAGAGAAAATGAAGCTGAGGTAGGAATATCTCAATATATTTCAAACCTGAGCCAATGAACAGAACTTGTATATAAAACTACAGAGGGTATAAATGGGCATTTGAAAAAGCAAACTGTTTTCTACTTTTGCTTCCTCTTTCCATTCTGATCCTTTGCTAAGAGGGCTGCCCCATCTTGTCTTCACCATAGTTGGTACTTGGCAGAGCTGGTTGGCGGGGAGGAGCTATGGCTTAAAAAGGAGTAGCTTATCATTTTGTGTCATTCCCTCCCCCAGCCAAAATGCACAATTGCTTTGCTACAGAGGCTTCTGAGGGTGGAATGGCCATTTTAGGCACATAAATTCTGGGTGGGCACAGAGAATTTTGTGGCCCATAGGCCATACAATGAGTTTGAACTCCTTGTTCAGGGGTCACACAGTGACTCCCAGAAAACTACAGCTCCCAACACTTCTTGCTACTTATGCTGGCTGGAGCTGATGGGAGTTAGTCCGAAAGGAGGTGGAGGACTAAATTTTCCCATCTCTGCTATAGTTCAAAACATTTCCTCTAAGCCTGCCACTGGAGTATGGACAGTTAATTTTGTATGCTTATTCTTGACTGCTTGGAGGAAGTCTTGAACGGATGGTGCCCAGGGACCTGGCAGTTATTTCCTGGGTTGTATGGTAGTGGGACTTTTGTCTCCCCAAGTGTATGTTCTTGGAATGCAGTTACAGTACTTTTCTCTTTTTTTCCCTTTTCTCTTCTTCCCTCCCTCTCTTTCTCCCTAATAGGCAAGACATGCGGACAGCACAGCGGATGATGTTTAACAAGGGAGATGGACCATGGTATTTCTATGCCACCCCGTCTACAAAACAGATTGATTATTCTAACAAAGCAACACCTGACAATTAAGCTTGTTAACTTTCGGTCTTGAACAAGCACCTGCAGACAGCAGCTGAGTTATGTAATAAATAACTACCATATTAACTTTAATAAATATTTCTGATTCAGAAACTTGCTGTGTGGAATCAGGTACTTGTTGATTTATAATGCAGAGTGAAAAAATTATAGGACCACTTTGTGAATCAATTTGCAAATTAAAACATGCTGTATAAATAAATACTGTAAAGTCCTCTAGCCTACCTGGATTACAACTCTCAGATTATCTCATAGAACATAACTGATGGCCACAATGATGTGAATAATAATAATAATAATAATAATAATAATAATAATAATAATAATAATAATAATAATAATAATAATAATAATAATAATAATAATAATAATAATAATAATAATAATAATAATAATAATAATAATAACCATAACCATAACCATAATAATCATAATAATCATAATAATAATAATAATAGATGACGACGATGACGACGACGACGACGATGAGAGAAATCTGGGGTCCATAGCTCCCTCTTACTGAAGAGTTTTCTGTTGATCAAGGACATACCTTTTGCCTCAGGAAAAACTGAGAACCCATAGAAGCTCTACAACAAATTGTTGGTTCATCCTTAAGATGTTGGTGGTGTGGGGCAGGAAATCAGACTCTTATCCACATCATGTGGAATTGCCCCACCGTAAGCCCCACTTTGGGAAAATATGCTGCAAATAGCCCAGAAAAACTCATTTATTTTAAAAATGTGTATGTTTTGTTGGAATTGTAGAACTGGACTGAGTCCAAACTCCTGACAAAGCAGGAAATTCACAGCTAAAGCATCCCTGAGATACGACTGTGTAGTGTCTGTCTAAAAACTCCCAGGGAAGTAAAGTCCTCTGAGGCAGTCCCTTCCACTGTCAAACAGCTCTTAACAGTCAAGAAATTCTTCCTAATGTTAAGGAGAATCCATTACTCATGGTTCTACCCTCTGGAGTTGTAGAAGACAAGCTTGCTCTGTGTGGCAGCCCTTCAGATATTTGAGAATGGCTTTCATATCACTTCTCAGTATTTTCCAGGTTAAACCTACTCACACCCCTCAGCTGTTCCTCATAGGGCTTGGTTTCTAGACCCATTACCACCTGGCTCAGCTTCTCTTAGAAACATTCCAGCATGTCAGCATCCTCCTCAAATTGTGGTGACCTGCACTACACACTATTCCAGGTGAAGGCTGACCAAAGCAGAATGGAGGGATGCTATTTGGTCTGGTCACTATTTGATCAGTGCAACCAAGTATTGCCTTTGCTTTTTTCCCCACTGCATCACAGTGTACCACCAGGTCTCTTCCTCCTCTGGGAACTGGCAAGAATTCTTCTATGTACAGTATTATCCACAAGGGCTTCTATGCCTTCTTTTGCCCCTGTTCCACCTGCTCTAATTCACCTTCTTGGAAGAGGGTCTGGGACTGTGGTCCTTGCTCCAAAGGCTCTGACTCAATATCTATGGAGAGGGCCTGGGACTCCTACACCTCTTTCAGCACACTGTAATGAGTGTTCCTGGTGAGGTAGGGCTATCAGGGCACAGGTAGTGTTCCTGGTGCAATTCCATAGCTCTATGGACACTACATGCTTCCTGATAGTCTTACCTCTCTTTTATATTCTGCCTCATCCTTGCCTTCTGAACTGGACATTCATGCTTGCTTTGTTGCTCCACCAGAAGAGTCTTCTCAGCTCTCCAGAAACAGTTCATGATGAGCTGCAGTGTGCAAAAGTGAGCTTTGAAGTGCTGTATCTTCTTCCAGTTCCTTGCAGTTGCTACAGGTATCACTTCCTACACCTTCAGAGTGAAAGGCAAACAAGCCAAGGGTATTGGAGGTCACTGCAGCTGCTCTTTAACACCTGCTCATTTAACATCTATGTCTCTTCTCTCATGCAAAGCATGTCACAGCTCTCTTGACCTCCCCTTAAATTCCCTTGCTAAATACTCAAGAAGGCCCTGCTTACTCTTCCTGTTTGCAAGCTCCCAGGAACTCTGATGGCAGCTATAGAGTGGTCCAACCAAATCAGTGCAGTTAATGACTACTGGGTCAGCCAGATGCGTTATGCTTTAACAGTGGAAGGCACCGTTGCTATTTTCCACAAGAAAACAAATTGCGGTAACGATTTTGCATTCCATGTACTTATTTGAACTGCACTCATATCGGTCAATAGGACCCAAAGTGGATCAATAATTTCTGTAAGTATGTTTTTTAATTTTTTAAAAACAATTTTAGGATTTTGCATCGTGATGAACACTCAAGTATAAAAGTTTACTGTGCTAATTTTCATAAAGTTGGTCAGGTTTTCTTTTAATATATATAGCAAAACCAGAAGTATTATGGGTACCTTAAAGATTTATTTCTGTGTGAGCTTTCATGGGTTACAGTTGACTTCCTGACAGACACACCTGAACTGCGATGTACTCATGTCAAGAGATGAAACAAAGACAATGTGTATATGAATTCCACTGGTTTTAATTAGTCTTTAATGTCAGATCTCCATACAGAGCACATTACCATAGTCTCTCGAGACTGAAGGATGCCTATACTATACTAATGTCAGATCACATTAAAAATGTAGCTCTGCCTTCAGTTTAAAGTGCAACAATCCATCTATAAGGTGTAAGTCCCTTGCAAGTTGTACACAGGTTCCATGCACTTTTTAAACATATTTTTGTTTACGTATACTCAACAGTTATTCTGATCATTAGATGGCAGCACTTCATTACTTCATTAACATTCCAACCCTCTAGTTCTACATTAAAACATGCTGCTTAAGGTCATCTTTTAGGCACGGATGAGAAATTCAGTTCCGTTTTACCAGAATTTTCAAAAATCCAATTGTAGGAGAAGCCAGATCTTCCCCTTCCCTAGGGGTGGGAGAGAATTCTTGTTCATCTCATCAATTCACTTCTGGTTAGAATTTCCCGACATCTCAATGTAGAAGAAAATAGTACTGAAAGATTTGTGAATGGGTGTGAGAGCTGGACAGTAAAGAAAACTGAGAGGAGAAAAAAATGATTCATTCGAAATGTGGTGCTGGAGGAGAGATTTGTAGATACTCTGGCCTGCCAGAAGGATGAACAAGTGGGTCCTAGATCAAATCAAGCCTGAACTATCTCTGGAAGCAAAAAATGTTGAAGCGGAGGTTGTCCTACTTTGGCCACATCAGGAGAAGGCAGGATTCTCTGGAAAAGACAATAATGCTGGGAAAGCTTGAAGGCAGCAGGAAAAGAGGAAGACAGATACCAACACTTGGGATGGGGTTCAGAGAGGAGCAGGAATACATGCACAGGCAATGCAATGCAATAGGCAGACCGTTTGATTTTATGCAAACTATAAGTTCACTTCTTTTTTCTGCCACAGAGATTTTCAGGCAATTCTCTTGGCCTTGTTATGTAGTGTCAGGTCACTTGAAATCTACAATTCTAACAGGATTTTTAGAGTATGAGCAATATGTAACCAGTGATGTTATTACTGTCACACATCCCTCAGTGAATGCCCATGGCCAAGATAGGAATTTGAACTCGGGTCCCCCAGGGCCTGGTCCCTAACTGTCCATTATCCCACACCAACTCTCTCTCTCTCTTTTTTTTTGGCTTCCCCACACCAACTCTCTCTTTTTTTTCTGGCTTAGCCTTACCTTATTGTGGGGATAATAAGAGGGAAAATGAATTGTTCGGTGCAGAGAAAATATTTGTTGATTTTATTTCAGGCTTCTTTGTGAGTGCATCTTTGGTTTTTTGTGTTCTTGCATACCAGTCCTTTCGTTTAACATGAAAGGGAAAAGGGTTTTGGGGGTTCTTTCATTGCAGGTATGTGCTTTGTGGTACCCTGAAAGCCCTTAAAAATTACTCAAAAAACCACAAAATAAAACACAGAGGCACTGTGCCCCACGGCTTGCCCCAGTTTGGCCCTGCCTTGATAACACTTCTGGGGGTCTCCAGATGGCTTCCATCAGCCTCCTCCCTTTTCCATGCCTTCTAGCTCCCAACCTGCTGTTTCCCAAAAAAAATCCAGTGTAAAGGGGTCAAGTCCTGCAATCTGTTCTCCCAAAGGGATTTCCTCCCTCCTGCCCTGGGCTCTGGCAGGATATTTCCCACTCAATTCTCCTCCCCTACACAAATTCCACATTTCTGACTTGCAGGGGCCTAGAGACTTTTCCACCTTCTCCCCGACCTCCTCCAAGCTACCATTCTTTTTTCCTCACAAGCCCCTCTCAAGTCCCTTATCTCTGGTTTTCTTCTCCACTCCCGCCTGACAAACTCAGCCAGACCTGGGAGGGGAGTTGTGGTGGGAGATAATAAGAGAAAGAGGCCTCTGAGCACGTACAGAGTAACACCCTACCCCAGCCCTGGATTCAGGAGGTGTGATTCCCGAGCAATTTTTTAGGCATGGTCCTTGGCGGCCTTGTGCCCTGGCACATCTCGGGGGGGAACAGCCTTCCTAGGCTGGGTCGCTAGAGAAAGAGGTTTCTGAGCACGTGCAGGGTACCCCGGGGCCCTGGGTTCAAGAGGCGGGATTCCTAAGCAACTCTTGGCAAGGGAAGTCTCCCTCCATCCCTCTTGGGAATGAGACTCCAGAGAGGCTGGCGCGCTAGGGAAAAGGGCCCTCTGAGCACGTGCAGAATATTGGCTTCAGGAGGAGGGACCGCCGAGGAGCCCTTTAGGCGTGGTTTACTTTGGGGGGAGCTTTCGACGTCCCCCCAAACCTCTGTGGGAAGAGCGGGCGGGGGGGGGAAGGTCTGGTCTCCCCCTTCAAGCAAGACTAGCGGGAGCAGCAGCAGCAGCGGCTCTTGCGCTCATTGGATTAAAAATAGCATCTCTCCACCCCTGCGGGCGGGTCGGGTCCGGCTCGGCTCCTTCCTTCGGTCCGGGCCCCCACCCGCCTCTCGCCTGCCTCCCGACGGCTGCCTGCCTGCCTGCCTGCTTGCTCGCCCGCCTTGCCTTTCCTCCCTGGTGCCTGGGTGGGCAGCGGCGGCTCTGCATCGAGCCGGCCGGCGGCGTTCACGTTCAGCATGGAGCGGGCCGCCTTGTTCGGGAACGGCCGGGAGGTTCCCATGGCCGCGGGGGACGTGGGCGAGCTCCTGGTGCCTTACATGCCCACCATCCGGCCGCAGTCCTAAGGGAGAGAAGGTCATGTGTTAAGGTCGGCCGGCAGGCGTAGGAGAAGTGTAGTCTTTTAATCCTTCCCACTTGCTTTTAGCTTGCTTTAAACAGGTCTTATTCAGGACTCGTTTTCAAATGCTTGACACATTAAAATTCTCAGGGCTTTAGAATTTCGAGAGCTTTATATTGAAGAAGGGGGAAAAATCAAGGTCCCCTCAGTTGTTTTGAATCATTTGCAGCTCAGGAATAAAGCCAGGATGAATCTTCACAAAGACTATAGAGAAGTGGGTGGCTGAGGCTAAACTGCATAGGAGCTGCAAGGCATTAGGGCTCTGGTAGTCTCTCTCCGTTTTGTTTCGTGGGCTGCCTATAAATCCCCCACCCCGCCCCCAAAATTAGGGCCTGTACGCCAGTCATGCGCTAAGCTGGCCCTCCCCATCCCTCAGAAAAGGGGGCAAAGGCTGGTTCCTTGCCATTTTGTTTCTCAGGTTTTTTTTGGAGGGGGGGGGCTGTAGATAGCCTTCCTGCAAAACAGAGCCTTTATTTCTGCCTGCCTTGTGGGTCCCCCCCCAACCTCCCATATGCTAATATTTTGTGTAAGTGCCTCAGCCTTTTGGGGGTTCCTCCCAAAGCAGTCATTAGGGGGCAGGACAAAGGAGGAGGAGGGGGGCTTTGCCTAGGACCCCAAAATTTGGAGAGGAGTCTGGTGGCGAAGCTACTAATGAGAGTTAGGAAAATAAACAGCAACAACTCCTGGCCCCTGTCCACTCCCCCCTTTTTTGGCAATGCATGAATCCACTTTGTTTTGGGGGACACTACACTGTCTTCTTTGTTTTGGGGGTGTGTTGGGTAGGAGAGGGTGCCACCTGTCCTGGGTGTCAAAATTGCTAGCTCTCTCTCTCTCTCTGATTCCTTCCCACGCCTACCCCTCACATCGTCTGCCTCTTGGGCCTCCTCTCCCAAGACCATCTAGAGGCTTTGCAGCCCCCCAGAAAGGCTGAACCCCACAAAATGGGAAATGGCTAAGACGCCTGTTTCCAGTTTCAAAAATATTGGCATTTCCAGGTGTTAAATGCAGTGAGTGTGGTCTGTAGCCTAATCAAAAGGTGTATCACCTTTTTAGTCGCTTCTAGGATTAACAGTGTGCCTCATTTTTACCAGAAAAGGAGGGAGCTGGAGGAGAAGGGTACGGGCCGTTTGCCCACCCCAAGGTACCCCCTTCTGAAAATACACCCTGCCCAGCATTGGCTCCTACTACTGGCAAAACCACTCTCCTCTCCTTCCAACCTTACCCGGAGTCCATCCTCCACTTTGCCACTTTACCAACCTGCTTCTCCTCCTCCACCTTCCAGCCACCCATACATTGGAATTCCATTGCCTAATTTGCAGTATTTTTTTCTCTCTCTGACTATAGCTACAAACCTACCCATATAGACATAGGTTTGAACTTGGTGAGATTGCAGGTGTGCCTACTAAGTAGCTATTTGAATACTGGTACCACCCCCATTGCATCCAGAGTGCCAATCTAGGCATGCTTAGCTCCATCACATGAGTGACCCGCCATCTGCTCTGATGTTGAACAAGTTACTTGATTGTGTTGTGTCCTGTTTATGGCAGCCCATGGTTGTTACCATGCACAAGCTCTCCAGACTTGGCCTGTATGATAGGGAGCGAGCAGAAAGTGTACTGAGATACTCCGAGAGTTATTTGGTTGACTTGTAGTAGATTGACTGGCAACGACCACATTTCATGACCATAGCAACAACAGAATGGTTGTTCTTCAGGCTGTGAGGCTGGCACCAGGAGTGGGTTTTGGTTCTGTTTTTGTGTGGAAAAACTTTCCTCCCCTCAAAATTTGTGAATGCTTTCTCTGAGTCTTTTGCCCTGGCGGCTGCTGATGAATTTTCTTTCAGCGTAAAAATAAAATACTTTATAAATCTGAAGTCCGCTGAAGCCTGCCTTATGGAATTCCATGCTTTAAATCTATAGATAGTTTACATGTAATGTGTTGGAGTTTTTACAATCTCTCAGGAGGGATTTTTCTGGGTTGGGGTGATTGCAACGTTCCCTCTAAGCTGCGCAGCCTCACAGTGCTGCGCGAGTCCTGTGGACCCGCAACCATTTTTGCTGTCCATTTAGTTGCGGGGGGGGGAGGATTTCCACTCGGTGCTGGTGGGAAATTGAATGTAATTAAAGAGTAGCAAATGGTGCTCTTTAATTACATTCAGTTCCCCACCAGCAGAACCAGATGGGTGTCAACACGGGCTGTGGGTGCACGAGACTCATGCAGTGCAGTGTGGCCATGCAGCTGCATAGCTTAGAGGGAACACTGGGTGACTGTCAATCTATCCAGCACTAACCAATTGTTCCTTCCCGCCTCTGAATTCAAAGAGAGCCCCGCCTCTTTGCTGAGTGCTTATTTCACCCTCTCTTTCCTGGGTTGTTTTTCAATGTTGTTGGTTTACTGTTGATCTGGTCACGACTATTAAGTAATGAAATGCTTTTCATTCTTCCTTTACAAATGTCTCAGAGTGAGTTGTTGAGACTTTTAAGTGCCAGTTAATAAGAAAGGGTTGGATTCTGGGGAACTTGTAGCTCTTCTCTTTGGTGAATCTCTGTACAGTACCTTTTACTGTGTGGCAAAGGAATTTTACCAGGAATTCAAAACTCTGCTACATAATCTGCTCCTCACTCTTGGCTGAGCACTTGCCCCCTCCATAGGGTGGCCAAATGCACTGCACCTCCTGCTACAAACCTCTTTCTTGTTCAGTCTGCCCATAGGAATCCCCCTTGTTTACCATCTCTTCTTACTTGAAAAATATTTCAGATTTAAGTGTGAGAGCTCAATGCAGTCTCTATATTCAGTAATCATGTCACCTGGCTGAGTATCAGGTGCTGAGAAGAAACAAACAAACAAAATCTATGTTGCTTTTTTGGAAGCAGTGGTTTTTTTTGGGGGGGGGTAGGAAGGGCAACATGGAGAGAGACACGGTGCCATGGCTGGAGTGTCAGACTGACTAATGTGACCTAAAGTTCAAATCTCTGCTTGACCATGGAAATACAACAGGGCGATGATGACAACGGAGTGGGGGGTGGGGGAAACCATTGTTTGCTGGTCAATTCAGATGCACCAACCTGTTGCCTACCCCAGTGAAAGCAAAGTGTTTTAGATGGGCCACCACTGCAGTCTTCAGTGGTGGTTTTGTTAGAGGTTGCAAACATGCCTTTCAGAAGCTGTTTCAATACTGTGTCCTCTATGGCAATCCAAGATTTCCCAGATGCGCTCTGTCCAAACATTTTCTTAAAAACCAGTGAGAATTTCTACTCTCCTAGGAGTAGTGATTCTAGTAAACACAAGGCATAATCCCCACATACTTTGTTTAGCTCTTACCTGAAGTGTTTTTAAACCTTTCACACACTTCCAATTTAATTTCCCTACTTTCCCCTCATTTCCCAGCACTGGTGAAGGCCATGGTTGGCTCTTGAGTTGACCCCCTGAGCTGCCAAAGTTGTCTACCCTGATCTCTGCCTACGGTTTAGTGGCCTGTCTATCTTTGCATGAACAAAGTTCCAGGTGTCATCCCTGGCATTTCCAGTTGAGACTGGGAAAGGCCCTTGCTGTGGTTTACGGAGAGTCACTACCAGTCTGACTTAACAGAAGGGAGCTTGTGATATTCTTACAGTTTCCTCGTTTTCAACCAGCTAACTTAACCACCTTTAACCCAAACCAAGGAGGGAGGGAGGAAGAAGGATGGATGGACCATGTGTGGGTTTTTTTTGCAAAGTGCAAACCCAGTGGTTATTAGTGTCATTCTTGAACCGCCAAAATATTGAACCATAGATGAGCATTTGAGTCCAACAGATCTTTCTTCAGGCTGAACATTGCAGAGCTTGAGGGAGGGAGGGAGGAGTGGAGACAGAAAACTCCTAAAATCATCCTGACCAGATGCTGTAATGTCAGGATCTGAGCCCAATGGTTATTAGCATCATTCTTGAACCGCTAAAATATTGAACCATAGATGAGCTTTTGAGTCCAACAGATCTTTCTTCAGACTGAACATTGTAGAGCTTGAGGGAGGGAGGGAGGGAGGAGACAGAAAACTCCTAAAATCATCTTGACCAGATGCTGTAATGTCAGGATCTGAGTTAAAATAATGTTATGAGATGCAGACTTTCTGAATCTCTTTGAGATACGTATCAGGTTTCACTTCCGGCAATGTAGGGATCGGTTGTCTTTCCTCATCTTTCAAGACAAAGAGTGGCCCATCATCTAGCACGTTTTCTATCTCAGATCTAGCTGGGCATGCAGGATCCCACAGCCGTAGCAATCCCACCTGCCAGAAAATATGGAGATTTAATGTGGTTGATGTAGTGTCTTTAAATACTCACCTTTATTCCTTTGGCCCATCCTGTAAATGCCATTCTCACCAGTCCAAGCAAACTGTTCTGCGTGTCTTTGACATCCGGTCTCTCTTTGCCCAAAGTGTTATGTCTGTTTTGCTGCCATTTCCACCTTTGAATGGCTGTATCCAATGAAATTCTTTTTGGAGGAAGGAAATCCATCTGCATTACATATAGTGTGCAAATCCATTTATAGGGGGTTAGCATGCATGCTGTAGAAGAGGCACACGTGTGATAGCTTCCTATGCCAGAAACGTTATCAGGTTTGAAGCATCTCTCATGCCTTCCCCAAGTAGGATATAAATTCCAATTTCATCTCTGTGTGTATGTGTTTCGGCCGTTAGGAGCTGCTTAATTTAGCAACACAGAAATGTTTGTGTTTAGAGAGAGGGTGATGTGCAAATGCCAGCTAGGATTTCCTGGTGTCTCCCTCCCCATCCCCCTGCTGCCAGTTTCAGCATATTGCAGGGCACAAGTAGTTTGGGTTTACACCTGACAAAGGTGTCAATTCTTTTAAAATTAGCTTAAGGCACCCTTACTTTTTCCATGCAGCTGAAACCAAAGGCTGCAAAACAGAAATGGCTGGGTCTCTTCAAGTTTTTCCAA